GACTCTCATACACTCCTGGTGGGACTGTAAAATGATACAACCACTGTGTAAAGTTGTATGGCAATTCCTTAAACAGTTGGAATTAGAAATACCATTTGATCCAGCAATTCCATTCCTAGGTATATATCCTAAAGAAGTGAGAGCCAGGACAAGAACAGTATATGCACACCTATGTTTATCACAGCACTATTTACAATAGCCAAAAGATGGAAACAACCTAGGTGCCCATCAACAGAAGAATGGATAACCAAACTATGGTACATACACACAATGGAATACTATGCAACCCTAAAGAATAACGTAGAATCTGCAAAACACTGCATAATGTGAATGAACTTGGAGGATGTTACGCTGAATGAAATAAGTCAATCACAGAAGGACAAATATTGTATTAGTCCATTATTGTAAAAGGTCAAGGAAAGATTTATATATGGAAGGACATTTTCTTTGTTGATTACCAGGGGTGGGAAGGGAAGAGAGGGAAAGGAACACTGCTAGACAGGTAGAGACAAGTATTGATTTGGGTGAAGTGAAGGGCAGTGAACCAAATGTGAGTGATCAACATGGTGGCACTGAGGAAGAGGAAGACATAGGGAGGTGCATGGGAGGTATAGACAACAAAGATGAGCCCTTTTTCACGTACAGTACTGCATTGTCAGTGAAGGCAAACATTGATCTATGGGTGCATAGATGGGTGGGCAGGCTAAACGATTAGTTCTGTCTGTGCAGGGGGAATGTGCCCATGGTCATATATCCGGGTTGGCAGATAATGTTTCTACAAGTATTTATATGTATGTTCTGTAAAAATTTCCAGGTATATAGTAGAGCTGACAAGGGACAAGGTTGTGGTCACTTCTTGGCCACAGCCTGAAGGGAGTGAATAGTTGGACCTGTGGGCTTGGGATCATGGTTGCAGGTGACATCAAGCTCAGTTGGCATAACATATTACACAAAAACATTGTTCCACATCCTACTTTGGTGAGTAGGAACTGGGATCTTAAAAGCTTACAAGTAGCCACCTAGATGCAACAATGGGTCTCTTCTCGTCCAGAGCAAAGAAGAATGAAGAAAACCAAAGATGCATGGAAACAATTAGTCCAAGTGAGTGGAACACCATGTGATCCTCACCCTATACTACTAGGAGGTACTGGATGGAGTGGGAGAACAATGTGGAACAAAACTCAAAATCATTTAAAAAAAAAAAAAAAAGAAGAAGAAGAAAAGAAAAAGGACTAGGTTTGCTGGTTTGATAAAACCTGGTGGAACCCCTGAGACTATTGCCCCTACCTGCCCTTCAGGTCTGGAATTGACCCCACTCCTGTGGCTTCTAGCTGAACAAAAGACAGGCATATGAACTGAACATTTATGTTAGGTAGATACGCTCCTTGGAGAGACCAATCATGGGAGGATAGAAGGCCTTTGTATGCCCAGCAAGGCAGCTCAGAGGGCAGGAGTGCATGGGAGGGAAGGACACAGGGAAGAGGTAGCTATGGGGAGGAAGTGGGAGGAGAGGTGTTGCATTGTGGGAGATTTCAGTCAATGTCATAAGAGAAAGTGTATGTGAACTGCTGTATGGAAGATGAATTTGCTTTGTAAACTTCCACCCAAATCACAATAAAAATTTAAAACAAAATGCACACCTTTTGTTTATAGTCAAGCCCTTAACCACTGTGCCACTAGGGGTCCTGCTGTATTGTATCAGGCAGGAGGCCACAGTGTCTGGTTGTCTCACTTCTGGTGATGCAACGATTACTTGTTTTTGTTACTGTAAAATTCCCCATTAACTTTTCGTGATAGTTTCGTCAGCTGATGGTTTTTGCATGAAACAGTTATTTTCTCCAAAAAATTACTTTCTTAGGGATTGCAAAATAGTGGTTTTCTAATTTAATCTTTACTTCTACATTTATTAGTTGGATTTTTTTCTATTAAAAAAAAATTCTTTCTTTCATTTGTTTGTGCTATCTTACTACCCAGTAATACGGTTCAGGTGGGAAAGTCAGGATACAAGTTTACTTTTTGTCTTTTAAGTGACAAATTCTGGGTAAAGAGTTGGTCCTTTATATAAGTTGTTTCCCCATTACCACCCTGTACATTTTACACAGAGAAGTTGAGGCTCAAAGATATCAAGTCAATTGTTGCAGATTACAAATAGCTGTTAAGGAGCAGCAGTGGTGTTCAAAACTATATCTACGCCCTCCAAAGCACATGCTGTTTCCCATAAACCAAACTGCACCTCTACCCTTGAACCCCCCCAAGTGCTTTCAGCTAGATATTACTGCAGCAAATATCTCTGCTGCTTTGCCTTTTAGGGACCAGGTTCCAAAAATCCTCCTCTGCAGGCATTCTGCTTTATAAATGTATAAAACACTCCGGAACTGTGTTTCTGAATGGAGGAGTTGGCCTCGATAGGCAATGGGCTGGGCAGAGCCAGGATGTCACAATATTTAGTAGGCCAGACTTTTAGGCATCACAGTTTGTCCTTTAGGCCCTTGCTGCAGCCAAAGTGTGAGTCACTCTAACTTACGATTATACAAAGATAAAACCAAAAAAAAAAAAAAACAAACTCACTGCCATGAAGTGGATTCTGATTCATACTGACCCCATAGGACAGAGTAGAACTGCCCCACAGGGTTTCCAAGGCTGTAAGTCTTTAAGAAAGCAGACTGCCTCATTTTCTCTGGTGGAGTGGCTGGTGGGTTTGAACAGCTGAACTTTTGGTTAGCAGCTGAATGCTTTAATCACTATCCAGAGCTCCCTGGATAAAGATCGAACTGACCAGGAAAAATTGGAGAGTTTTTAGAAGTTAAGATGTCTTCCCATAGTAACTCTTCTAAAGAGCGCTCCTTTCTTCTGCACCACCCCCTCCCCTGAAGTCCTTCCAGATTGAAGAGAAGAACTGAGTAAACTGTCTAAATGTTATTTTACACGTCCTGAAACTCTTGTTCATGTCTGTGTCCCTGGCGTCTGGCCCCGTCCTCTCCACCGCAGCCACCCCCATAACCCCTAGGGAGCTGTCAACTTTTAGTATCTTAGAGTCATGTTAAGGAAGCAGAGATCTTTTAGCACTTCAGTAAATTTAGGAGATTTTCTTGGCTTTGTGGTGGCTGCAACAGCACAGACTTCTAATGCCGGAGTTCCTGCCTGACTCAAAGAAGGAACATTTCCCAAAGACTTTATACACCCCAGCAGTACAAAATCTTTTTTTAATGTCCTTCACATTTCACCCCTTTCCATCAACATGGCACCCTACAGTAAAAACAAAGAAATAACAAACCCTGAAACTGCAGTTAGAGAGGTTTCCTATGCTTGTGATGGCCATAAGTGCCTCCTCAGCCTCTAATGTTTTGTGATGCACCATTAGATAAAGAAAGCCCACATTCCTGCTGTCCCAGGCCAGGACCTGATTCGTGAAATACCTACATTTTCTCTATCGGTCAGATAAATTCATGCTATCTCTATTTTGCCTACAAGGGGGCTATAATAAGCCCCGTGAAAAGATACTGTCAGCTATAAGCAGAGGGCCTCTGAAGCAGCTGTCTAGAAAAAAAGGAAAGCAATTCTGTAATCTGCTTTGAGGAGAACCCAGATGCAAATAATGGAGAGCAAGGATGAAACATGTTCTACCCTTCAGAATAACCTCCAATCGCCTGCTTCTTAGGGAGCTCTGGCACAATGGTTAAACATCCAGCTGATAACCAAAAGGTCAGAGGTTCAAACCCACCAGTTGCTCATGTGGCAGGCTGATTCCATAAAGATTACAGCCATGGAAACCCTACGAGGCAGGTCTGTGTCATGTAGAGTTACTATGAGTTGGAATTGGCTCAACAGCAATGGGTTTGGTTTTACATTTCAATATTACGGTTCTTTACAGAATATCTAACTGCGACCATGGGTGGCACAAATGGTTAAGTGCTCAACAGCTGAAAGGTTGGTGGTTCAAACCCACTCAGATGTGCCTCAGAAGACAGGTCTGGTAATCTGCTTCTAAGATACCAGCCGTTGAAAACCCTACTCTGCACACATGGGGTCACTATGAATCAGAATTGATTTGGTAGCAACTACCAATAACAGAAAATCTGGCCTGTCATGTCCTATAGAACTTTCGGTGATGACAGACATACTTAATATTCCCTCTGTCTAGTACGGAGCTCTGATGGCAAATGCCTATGGCATTTGATGCTAACCAGAAGTTGGGAGATTCAAACCCATCAGTGGCTCTGCAGAAGGAAGTTTGGGGCAATCTACTAATGTAAAGATTTACTGCCTCGGAAACCCAATGGGGTCCCTATGAGTCAGAATCGACTTGATGGCAGTGAGTTTTGTTTTTGTTTTTCTCTGTCCAGTACAGAGGCCCCTAATTATGTGTGGCTATTGAACACTTGGAATGTTGCTAGTATAACTGAAGAACTGAATTTTTATTTTTATTTAATTTAAAATAATTTAAATAGCACAGGTAGATAGAAGTTATCATACTGTGTAGTGTAGATCTGGCCCTTCCAGTCTTAACTTTTTTATATCTCTTACACAGTTTATACAAGCTGAGACTATCATAAAATTTTTCATAAATTGAAGGCACCAATTTCATTAATCTTGGTAGTGAATTTTCCTTGTGAAATTAGATTTCTGATGAGTTGGAATTCTGGCTTCTTTACATAAGGATGAGCATCCCTGAGTGGTATAAACAGTTAATGTGCATGACTCCTAAATGAAAGGTTGGAAGTCTGAGCCTACTGATAAGCACATTGAAAGAAAGACCCAACTGAGGATCTACTTCCAGCAAATCAGCCACTGAAAATCCTGTGGAGTATCATTCTCCTCGGATCCTCCTGGAGTTGCCATGAGTTGCAGTCACCTCGACAGCAATTGATTATATAAAGATACACTTTCAGTTTGGGACTAACTTTAAGGAAGAATTTGTATAAAATGACATGTTTAATTTTCTCTTCTTGGGCTTGATTTTCAATTGAATTTGTTAAGACCACCTTGTATACTGCCCATAGGCCTCGCGGAGAACCTGGTCCTGCGCGTTCCTGGATCCAGTGTGTTTCTCTTCGGTGAAGCTGACCTGCCTGAGAAGCGCAGTCTTGTCCAGAGAAGGAAGCAACTGGGCTGGTTTACAAGGAGGGACCTCAGAGCTCTGAAACCTGACCTGGGGACTGCATCAGCATGGAGATGTGGTTTAACAGGTTCTGTGCATGGCTTTGGTTCTGCTTTGTTTTGTTCTTAAAACTTGATAATAGACTCCTGAAGTCTCTTCTTTAGTTGTTGTTGTTGTTGTTAAGTGCCGTCGAGTCGTTTCGGACTCATGGAAGCTCTGGTAGCATAGTGGTTAAGACACTTGCCTGCTAACCAGAGGGCTGGCGGTTCAAACCCACCAGCCACTCCTCGGAAGGAAGGTTGGGCAATCCTACTTCCGTAGTGATA